AGGGTGAGTTTGGCTGATGGAATAAGTATTTAGTGACAAAGCATATTTATATGGCAAATTGAGTAAGTATTTCAAGACTTCTTACTTACAAAAAGAAGAATGTCACTGATTATTTAGGTTGTTAACAAATGTACATTTTTTTAGAGCATGTACAATAAGAAACAATTAAAAATTTTATTTTAAAATGCATAATCATAATTAATAGTATTTTATATAAATTAATGTTTTTATATATATTCAATTTTTAAATAGAACACCAAACAGAACATCTCTCTTCCAATGCACATTCTTAAATAAAGCTTTTTAAAAAATTACACAACCATTATTTTAGTTTACCCATATTTTATATATTTAAATTAAATATATTTTTAAAAAAAAAAATCCCAACCGTTAGATTGCGCTGACATTCGCCTCAACTTTTTGGTTCCTTTTGGGCTAAGAAAATTTGACCGAGCTTGTCTCTCTACAAGCTCGATCCCAAGCTTCTCTCAAATGGTAAATGTGTTATATCTTTTTTAGAAAAAAAATAATGGAAGAGAACTTTTATTATACATATTTTTAGGTTAAAGTATGTCCTTAACCTTCTTGAACAATGATTTTTGGTTAATTTATTTATTTATAGTTTAAAAATCAAGTAATACTGAATGTTGAGCATAATATATTTTATACTCAAATTTATAAAAGATTAAAGATTTAATACTTAAATATGTGTAAATTTTACATAAATTAATAAATTATTAATTATTAATTTTAAAATATAACTGTTTGAGTTGTTAAGTAATAACGTTTGATATAAAAATTTATTACTAATCACATATTAATAAATGAATTTAATTCCGAGTAACTACTTGGTTATGGAAACGAGGTTGAATTTTCAATCATGAAGGAGAAGAATTGTTTTCTCTTCCCAGAACCTTGAATTGATATCCTATCAAGTTCAACTTTTGGCGTGAATCATTAATGCTACCCATTGGTTAGTTGAGGTTCCATGGTCAATCCCATGATCAATAATCAAAAGTTAGTTGAGCCAATTACTAGTCTACAGCTAATTAGCCCATGGCCTAAAGCTAGGCTTATTTACAATGAGTTGGAAAGCTTTGAATATCCTTTGAGCTTATGTGGTTGAAATTGAAATACCAAGCCATTGGTACCACAGTAATAAACACAAACAGATACTAGTAGGTTAGTAGTCGCTGCGCATCACATCAAATGCATCCCATAAGGTCATCAATAACCCACACTATTTCCTTTTCAAGGGAAAATCATACATCATCACTTACCTCATTTCCTATTTGGTGTTGTTGTCATTTCTTTTTGGTAGCATCTAACAACTGATCTCTACTTTCTGTGGAATTTGTAAAAGCTTACTCTGGTCACACGTTGTGGCAAAACTTTCCACTTTTCTCTCTATCTCTTTCATCCAACTAAGCCTAAGGTATCTAAACTAAATTTAGGTTGAGATGATGAGATGAGATTCTTGGCTTATGTCAGGTGCTTTAAAGTACCCTCCAAAGCCACATCATTCGAAGCTGTAAAGTGTAATAACCAACCTGGGTATGACAATTTTTTTCACCTCCAAAGGAGAATCCTCGATAAGCTTTGGGATGCAAGTTTCATTCCGTTCACACACCTTTTTGGCTCTTATTGGATGCTGAATACAGAATTTAAGGTAAAGTGAAAAAAAATATTTAAAAAAAAAAAACAAGATATGTATTCTATTGTAAAAGATCAATGGGAATTAAGGAAGATTAAAGGGTGTGCTTAAGCTTTGTGAGGATTCCAATGGGCCAAGGAGTTCTTTTCCACACAACTTTTCCTTTACCCATTTGTTTTTTTCTTGCTAGTGAGAAGTTGTCTAAGCATACCCAGAAGAAAGAATAAGAATATTGGATAGGGTGATTTTTTTTGGAGGGTGGTGGGTGGCCTTCAAAATTCTTCATCTCAGGTCTCAGGAGATAAGACGTTATGTATAATTTTGTGTGCCACATACCAAAATGGTGGGCAGAGCAAGAATTCAATGGTTTTGCTGCTACCATCCGTTTCAGGTCCTGCAGATAAAAAGAAGACTTTGGAACCTGCTAAAGTGATAACTGGTGATAAGATATCCCAGATGCTTCTTTTGCAGTCGTTGTTTTTCACTTTCACACCTCACCATCGCTTCATGACTGGGACAAAATTGAAGTCTTTTTCATTTATTTGTGCTTCATTTACCATTCCATTTCTAAATTCACTAATAAAGGACATGCAAGGTTTTTCAATCCTGAGTATTACAGACAGGGTGGTGTTATCTTGAGTATACCTCCCTAAATAATAAATCTTGATTAACAAGTTATGTAGCAAACTCTTTTAGGAACCATGCTAATCCCTTGGGAAGGATCAAATTTGAGTCAGAGAAGCTTAAAAAGGGTGGCTCTACATAATGGATTCATAGATTTGGGTTTTGGAGTTGCTTAAGGCACCTGGAAAGCCTTTTGGCAGATCTCTGAGGTGTGAAATCTGAGTCATCACTAGACTAATTTGCAATTATATTGATACTTACCCAGGATAATTGACAATTGCTAGAACATGGGCATGCAATTTAATAAAAGGTTTGTTTAATTTGTTTTTTAAAAGTGTATTAAATATATTTTTTATCATAAATTTATATTGAAAAAATAAAAATCAAATATCAATTTATCAATTATTTAATTAAATTTATTTTACACTAAAATTAATATAAATTTTTATATTTTTTTATGTATACTAAAAATAAAAAATATTTTTAATTTGTATCTTTTAAAAATTTTTCTTTAATAAAAAAGAAACAATTCACAATTCAGAGATGCTCTAGATTACAGAATTGAACTAAAAGAAGCAACATGGTTGTTCACACCATCCCATTACACAGCAATAATTGCGACCCAAATGGTCAACATATTTGCATTTGCTTTAATTTGCAGGCAATCACTGACCCCAGGTTTCAAATCAACCCCTTGTTTGCATCTGCAAATAAAATCAGTAAAATCTTGATTGGCCCCAGTTTGGATTTTTTCATCATTCTGATTCTTGAATTTTGTCCATTTTCCTCAACGGCGAGTTACAGATGTCTCAAGATCAAGAACCATTTTATGTACCAAAAAAAAAAAGATCAAGAACCATTTTCCATATTCCCATGTTGCAACTAAATTTTAGGGAAGCGATACAAATCATACAACACAACTCTATTATTATTATTATTATTATTTAATATATTCACAAGAGCTGTATTCGAACGGTTACCTTAAAGAAAAAAACGTAGATCTAACACCACTACACCGAAAGGCAAGGTGCATACAACACAACTCTGTTTGTTATCCCTAACTTTATTTTTATTTTAGGAAATGATTTCCCCAATCTCATAAGCTAGAAGTACATAGAAAATTTTCCCTCCATTAATCTGGAAAAGTGGTTCACTTTTCTTGCTCATGGAAAAACAAGATGTACCAGTGGATGACATTGAATTGAAAAACACAAATCCTGTTCCAGAAACACAGTAAATTATTGTTGCAAAGACAACTTCATATGCTGACCATGATTTATTTATTTACACCAAGTAGATACATGAACTGATGAACATGGATATATTCAAGGGAAAAGACAATGCTATTTACTTTGCACTCAACTACAAGGATGCAACCAAATGAACATAACATGGAACCCTCCAATGGTCAGGCCAGGAAAAAAAGTACTAGCAAGACCAAGATTGGAGAGGGAGGAGACAGACCTCTCTTCCTACGAACTACAAACTGACCCCTACACTCTGTAGCAGCACCTCTGCAAATGTTAAAAATTTAATTGCAGAAGCTACCGGAGAGACTAACTAAAGACATACATGAAGAACACAAATGAAACATTACATGATGATGAATACAGGAGCGCTTCATGATTAGGATAGCTTCCTTATAGCTTCCCAATCAATCTCCACAGAAGGGTATTTCTCCAACCCAAAATTCTCAGTCTCCTCCCACTGGGAATCAGAGAAATCCAAGAAAGTGATGTCAGATTCTGGTGAAGAAGAACTGGCCGATGATTCATTGGATAAATCCGATGAAGAAAATGAGTTCTCCCCCTTCGGATCATCCAGTCTTGGAGACTCAAGTTCCTCGCTTTTCACTGAATAATCAAACTCTGTCTTGGGCTCTGAAGGAGAAACATTCGGGGGCTTTGTGTCGGAGAAGGAACCCGCCTTTCCTGTGTTCCCCTGTTTTTGCAGGCTCTGGCAAATAGCTTCAAGCTTTGCATCAACTGTGGAGTGGAGAGGCTTGTAGTCGCCAAAGTCACCAGAAACGTGAGCGCCTTGGTGCTTGAGGTGGGGGAAATTGAGCCTGGCAAACTCTCCTCTGAGCTTAAAGGCGGCCTGGTCGTAGGCCAAAGCCGCTTCTTCAGCTGTATCAAACGTGCCAAGCCAGAGGCGAGTTCGGTTCTTGGGGAGTCTGATTTCAGCTACCCATTTGCCCCAGTGCCTCTGTCTCACTCCCCTATAAAGCTTTGTGGGCTTTGAAGAGGGGGAAACATGTTTCATGGGGACAGGCTTTGGGCAAAGAAAGTTGACACTTTGGCTGGGCAGTGGTGGTGCGGAAACTGAAGCTAGCTGCTGCTGCTGGAGGTAGATTTGAGCTTGGATTTGGAGAATTTGCGAAGAGGTAAGCTGGTTAAGCCCAATTGAACCTGTTTTCTCAAGACCCATCTGTGTGTTAAAGCTAGGGAACCCATGAGAAAACTGGAGATATGATGGAGAGTAAAATTCAGGGTACAAACTGGGTTGTGAAGGTGAGGAGAATTGAGAAAAGGAACAAGGGAAAGATGAAGAAGAGGGGCAAGACATAGAGGAAGTAGATGAAGGACTCTTCATAAAAGGTTCAAGTGCCTTCATCAACTCTTCTCTTAAAGGATCTGAGAAACCTGAGTTACTGCTGCCATTATACATATCTATAGCTGCAGCCATTTCTAACCAGAAAGAGAAGATCAAAACAACCTGTTTCTTAACCCAAAATCAAAAAACAGGCACTAGATAAGATAACCTTGAGGGACCAAAAACAAACCCTCTTAGCCAATCAGATAAAAAGCTAAAATTTTTACAAAAGAAAAGAGGAACTGAAAATCAAAAGAACTTGGATCTCTATTCTGAATCACCTGGCTTTCAAAAACAGTTTTTGCCTTATGGGTCTCCTTTTTCTTGGATCAAATTCAAAACCCACAAAAATTTTTCCAGTTGAAAGACAGACGATGACAGAAAGGGATTCAGAGAAGCGGGGATCAAAGAAAAAAAAAGGGGGGGGGAGATTTAAGAGAAAAATTCAAGCTTTTTAAAACAGAGGAAATTTTCTACGTTTATGGCTCTCAATTTTCTGGCCTCACAAGCACTCTTTGCATTTCCTGGGTCGTCTTATCTCTACTTATATAACACTCGAGGTGGTGGGTTTATTTTATCCTCCGATTTTTCACAATTTTAATATTTTTTTGATTACTTTAATTATCACTACCGTTCTGGCCTTCCCGATTCTTTTTTAATTCGATGAACGGCTAGCATAGCAAGAGGCCGCCACCAGTTACTGGGGTGGAAAATGATGCTTTACACGTTCGCGCCTGTGATTCGTTAAGGATTTCGTTGACTATCTCGTTGTGCGCTTTTGGTATTTAATGCAGGTTTTGCGGCATGCCCAGCCAGCTTCCACCACATAATACAGGTTACGCAGCTTATCATTTTGGTAAATATAGCTTAATTATACATATAGGTCAGCAATGATATACTCCATTTTAGTCCAAAACACTTATTTTTTTAAAGAAAAATTAATTATTCATGTTCAAAAAAAGAGAAAAATTAATTATTATTTTTCTTAATAGTAACTCTTAATTTTTAAAATATATGTTAGATCTTAATTAATTAAAAGTTGAGTCGCCTTAAACTTTATAAAAAAGAACTCATTTTTAGCGTTTGTTTTTTTATGTGTAATTGAGATTTTATTTAAAAGAAGTCACACTCTTTCTATTTAATAACATTAGTTAGTTAATCATTTTTTGTTTAAATATATATTTTATTTAACTTTATTATTATTTATTTACTTTAATTAATTATTTTATCACAAAACTTATATCTTTATCTTTTAATTTTTTTTATGAATAATATACAATAGTTAAATATATAAATTATTCTTAAATTTTTAATTAAAAAATTAAAAAATAAAAATTACTTTAAAACAAAAAGAGTGGTTATAACGTTATGAGAGATTATAAATTACAATTATAACCTAATATTAAATTAGTCAATATATATAATATTATAAGTAAAATGCTTAATGAAAAGAGTGAATTGTATAATTATATATTATGATTATAAATTACAATATTACGTAATATTATAAATATGTCATTTTTAATATGCTTTTATAATATAATATGATGTGTTATTAAAATAAATTAATATAAATAATTAATATAATAAATAAAAATATTTAGTCATAATATTAATTTATTACATGTATTTAAAATTACTATGGGTCTATTATTTTCAATTCAGTTTCGATGAAAAAAAAAACACTCTTTTCTATCTTTCTTCTTTTTCTTCTAAAAGCGTTGTGCAATGAAGGCAATACTATTTGTAAATTTGGATTTTTGGAGAGGGGGAAGGAAAGCTCATGATGCTACTCATATGCAAGGTGATCAAACCATCATCAGGAGTAGTACTAGTAAAAATCATTCTTATCCACAACGACTATGTCTAATCCCTATCCCTATATTAAAATATTTATCTGGTCTTAATTTTTTAAATGAAAAAAACCCACCATCTCAAAGTGCATATTGATAGAGAGTAATTAAGAATAAATTATTGAAAAGATGTGGATAGACTCGGTTTGTAGTTGTGAAGGGAATCAATTGGCCAAAGGCCTTGGATATGAAACTTGAAAGTAGGCTATTAACCATGGTTGAGATATAGCTCTAATGACTTGGAAAATGTAATTATATAATTTCATATAAAATTTTAAATTTATAATTACAATATGTTATTATATAATAATTTTTTATTTAAAAGTTTATTTATAATATTATATATATTAAAATTAAAAGATAATTTTTTATATAATT